AGAATTTACTTCGTAGTTCCAGCATTGGTGAAAATACTGGCTCTTTATTAACGCACTAACCTTATGTAGGGTACAGGATCATTCTGAACCATAGTAAGCAGCCACTGTAGTTCTTCGTAGCTCCTATCAACTGCAAAGTAGAATAAAATTCCTATAAATATATATATAATCTGGAAGGATTTTGACTGAGACAATCACAAGTTCCCCAATTAGCACACGAAGAGCTTGAATCACTGCAACTAAAGAGGAATTTCATTAATTACAGTGCAAATTCAAAGTAAAAAGTGGTTCACTTTACAGTGAAATCGAAATGAACACAAAAGTCCCTCATGCCTCAATTGGTCAGTAACCACAAACTTGACTATGAGAAGGTAACTGTCACTCGTGAGTGCTGATTGGGAAGATCACAGAGTAAATGATCACCTTGATATTGTGTGCTCCCTAAAACAAATGCAATTCAAATATTCTTTCAACAATCAGAAGTACAACATTTTCTACAGGGAACAGGGAATATACAATTCTTATGCACAGGAATTTGTTAAAGTTATTTATAAATAGGACAGAAAGTGGCAGACTACAGGGCATATACAAAACTGAAGCATACTCCTCTCAGTAGCTTGCCTCAGCTTTTTAAATCAGGATACTTTGCAACTAAAACGTATTTTGAAACTTAACAGCATGTGCTTCTAGAAAATTGCTGCCTGACATTGTTTGAAACAACATCAGCTTGTTAGTTTAAAATTTAAATTCCATGACAAAATTCCTTTGATTGTCAAGAGTAACATTGCAAAGTAACAAACAACGCAGAATATCATCACCACCGATGGCACAAAAAATGAAATAATTTTTATGTAATCTTTTTCTTGGGTGCACAACAGTAAGATTTTACAGCAGTATTCTTCTACTTTCCTCAAAACAATGAAGAGCTTGCATAGGCTTTGCTTTACTTCAGAATTTGGGGTGTATTAGTCATTCCTGTACAGACAGCTCCAAAAACATCTCTGTTGCCTTCCATTTTGTGGTCCTAGCCATGTATTTCCTTCTTCCCTAAGCCTGTATTTTCAGTTCTAAATACCTCGGTTCTTCCCTGTCTGATGTCAGTCAGTTTTCAGTCAATCATTTTTAAATACAACTCTTTTAGTCCAATCAATTCTAATATCTATTATTCCCTTGCTATTTCACTAGAGCAAGCTGCTTTTAAAGGAAGAGGCAGTTATTTAAATCATACTGTGAGAATCAGCACTTCAGTTCTATCAGAAGTTCTTTAAATACTTTGGAGAAATAGAACATAAGATCTCTTCTTGGCTTGGGAGGAGGCAGCCAAGCAATAAAACCTACATTTTAACATTGCTTAGAAGATGACTGAACAGTCTTTTGCAGGCCACTTGTAAGTCAACTCTGCTCTTCCTATAATCCAAGCAAAACACAACCGGTTACACTGGTGAGGCATTGACCTGGGCTGGTAAGCCCTGTTCAGGGGTAGAATGTATTAGCTCACAAACTGCAATCTCGGATTTGCATTAAAAATCAGAGAAATCTTTGAAAAGCTATGCCTAGGATATACTTTTAAGGGATTAGTGACTGCCTGTGCTCGGCTCCATGCACAGCTGCTTTTCCTGGCAGCTACCTTGCTTGGGACAGAAGGCAGCTAGAACACTGCATACAAAAGTTGTTCTGCATGGAAGAAAAATAATGTTGTATAACCACGCAGCAAAGACTCACAACACAGAGAACACATTAAGCCACGACCATAAGCAAACTGCAATTACTTCAACCACTAAAAAAAAGGATTTTAAAACAGTTTTTGAATAGAAAATGAGAAGTCTAGGAGATGAATCCTTTAGGCTGACAGTACTGCATAACAGCACCAAGAAACACCACACTTTTGTGGTTAAACAGTCTTTTTTGCTTCTTAAACTTTGTGCTTGAAACAAATGAAGTCTTCCCTGCTGTTTGCCTTACAGTGTAAACTAGGCCTGCCAGACTTCCAAACCTTTGCTACTAATGCATTTAACCTGCTCTTCAAATTTATAGAACAACTACGAAACACTTTGGGGAACAACGACAAATTAAAGCTGACTTTTGGCAGAACAAATCTTTTTAGCCAGAAAAGTCATGGAATCACACAACAGCCCAGTTTGGAAGCGACCTCAAAACATCATGTGGTCCAACCTTTTGTGGGAAAGGGAGCCTAGATGAGATTATCTAGCACCCTGTCCAATCTCATCATGAAAACCTCCAGTGATGAGGACTCTAGCACATCCCTGGGGAAGTTGTCCCACTGACTGATAGTTCTCACTGTAAATATCTTGATATCATGCTCGTAGGCTCTCATCCTGCTGGGGGATTTCAACCATCCCAATGTTTGCTGGAAAAGTACACGGTGAGCTGTAGGCAATCCAGGAGACTCCTGCAGTATAATGAGGGTAAATTCTTAAGCTGAGTAATAAAAAACCCTACCACAGGGGATGAGATACTGGACCTGATGGTCACCAACGCAAGTGAGTTAGTTGGTGACGTCAAGATTGGAGGCAGCCTGGGCTGCAGTGGTCACACGCTGGTGGAGATCACAGTCGTGAGGGATATGGGTCAGGTAAAGAGTAAAGTCAGGGCTCTGAATTTTAGGAAAGCAAACTTCCAGCTGTTCAAGGAGTTAGTCAGTAGGACCCCCTGGGAAACTGACCTCAGGGATAAGGGAGCAGAACAGAGCTGGCAGATCTTTAAGGATGCTTTCTTTCCATAGAGCGCAAGAATTCTTGATACCGAGGTGCAAAAAATCAGGCAAGGAAAGCAAGAGACCAGCATGGTTGAGTCGAGACCTGTTGGTCAAACTAAAGAGCAAGAAAGAAATGCACGAGCAGTGGAAACAGGGACAGGTATTCTGGGAAGAGTACAGGCATGTTGCCTCGTTGTGTAGGGGTGGGGTCAGGAAGGCCAAGGCATGGCTGGAGCTGAACTTGGCGAGGAATGTAAAGAATAATAAGGAGGGCTTCTACAGATGTGCCAGCCAGAAAAGGAAGGTCAAAGAAAATGTAGCCCCCTTAGTGAGCAAGACTGGCAAACTGGTAACAACGAACAAGGAGAAGGCTGAGGTACTCAAAAACATTTGGCTTCAGTCTTCACTGGCAACCTCTCCTCCCACACCTCTCGAGTGGATGGACCACAAGGCAAGGACTGGGAGAGCAAAGTCCCTCCCACTGTAAGAGAAGATCAGGTTTGTGACTACCCAAGGAAACTGAACATATATAAGTCTGTGGCATCTGATGAGGTGCATCCAAAAGTCCTGAAGAAAATGGCCCATGTAGTTGCCGAGACACTCTCCATGATATTTGAAAAGCCATGGCAGTCAGGTGAAGTCCCTGGTGCCTGGAAAAAGGGAAATATAGCACCCATTTTTAAAAAGGGTAGAAAGGAGGACCCTGGGAACTACTGATCTTTCAGCTTCATCTCTGTGCCTGGGAAGATCATGGAACAGATATTTGTAGAAGCTATGCTAAGGCACGTGGAGGACAGGGAGGTGGTTCGAGACAGCCAACTTGGCTTCACTAGGTCTGATCAACCTAGTGGCCTTCTAGGATGGAGTGACTACATCAGCGGACAAGGGAAGAGCTACAGATGTCATCTGTCTGGACTTCTATAAGGCCTTTGACACGGTCCCCCTCAACATTCTTCTCTCTAAATTGGAGAGATAGGGATTTCATGGGTGGACTGTTTGGCGGACGAGGAATTGGTCGGACTGTCACATCCAGAGGGTAGTGGTCAACGGCTGAATATTCAGATGGAGACTGGTGACAAGTGGTTTCCCTCAGGGGTCCGCACTGGGACCAGTATTGCTTAATAACTTCATCAATGACATAGCCAGTGGGATCGAGTGCACCCTCAGCAAGTTTGCAGACAACACCAAGCAGCGTGGTGTGGTTGACATGCCTGAGGGATGAGATGGCATCCAGAAGGACCTGGACAAGCTTGAGAAGGGGGCCTGTGTGAACCTCACAAAATTCAACAAGGCCAAGTACAAGGTACTGCACATGGGCCAGGGCAACCCCCGGTATCAATACAGGCTGGGAGATGAAAGGATTGAGAGCAGCCCTGAGGAAAAGGACTTAGGAGTACTGGTGGATGACAAGATGGACATGAGGTGGCAATATGTGCTTGCAGCCCACAAAATCAACTGTATCCTGGGACGCATCAGCAGGTCAAGGGTGGTGTTCTCACCTCTACTTCGCTCTGGTGAGATCCCACCTGAAGTACTGTGTCCAGTTCTGGAGTCCTCAGCATAGGAAACACATGGATTTGTTGGGAGCAAGTCCAGAGGAGGACTAGAAAAATTATCAGAGGGGTGGAACACTTCTATGAAGACAGGCTGAGAGAGTTGGGGTTGTTCAGCCTGAAGAAGAGAAGGCTCTAGGGAGACTTTCTAGAGGCCTTCCAGTATTTAAAGGGGGCCTATAAGAAAGATGGGGACAGACTTTTTGGGAGGGCCTGTTGCGATAGGACAAAGGGTAATGGTTTCAAACTAAAAAAGGGTAGATTCAGACCAGATACAAAGAATTTTTACTTACAATGAGGGTGGTAAAACACTGGAACAGGTTGTCCAGAGAGGCCGTAGATGCCCCATCCCTGGAAACATTCAAGGTCAGGTTGGACGGGGGTCTGAGCAATGTGACCTACTTGAAGATGTCCCTGTTTATTGCTGGGGGGCTGGACTAGATGACCTTTAAGGTCTCTTCCAATCCAAACTATTCTTGGATTCTGTGTTCCCTGGGGACCCCACTTGTGACAGGCTGCCAGCTGGAGAAAAAAACTATTGATTGCCACCCTCTGAGTGCAGCCCATGACTCAGTTATCCTACCCATCTCACAGACCACCCATCCTGTCTGTATCTTGCCAGTTTGTCTAGGAGAAGGCTGTGGGAAAGCAAAGATATGTAGATTTTCATACTCCTGGTAGGCATAAAAACAAGTGATTGCTATCTTAAGCAAAAATCCCCTTGAGATTTTTTTCAAATTACAAGAGATGGTGGATCAGTTCTCAATTACAGCAGAGCATATCTGAGATTCTAACATTAATGAGATTAGATAATCATGGACATTTATCTAGAATGGTTTCGATTTGTTTTTACCTCTTATAAATATGCAACTGCTCTGTTGTACACATATAACTGCTAATAGTCATGTAACTATCAGAAGCTCACTTTAAAAAGTTAATAAAACCTGTTCCCTTCAAGTCAGTTTAGATCAGCTGTCCAAGTCCTTATATGCTGCCTCAAGCATTTTACAGAGTTACCGTGTCTCAAAAAAAGCCTCACTATTAACAGCAAAGAAAACAACTTCTTCAGTTCCATGGAGAAATGATTTCTTTTAAAGCAACTTAAAAAAAGGCAGTGCTATTCCTACCCTGAGAGTTAATAGAAAAACATGGGAGTTCCACTCTGCCCCAGAAAATACAGACTTTCCTTTTTATGGAAATTACAAAATCTGTCAGCTTCCTTTACAAGAACTGTTAAAAAGCCAGCTTTGGCACAAGCAACAGGCATTTGATAGCTGCTGGTTTACATCCAGTTTGAACTGCAAACCAGGTAACAGGGAACAACGAGAATCAGACCTCTTGGCAATAAACGGCCAATCATCTCTCCTTCCAAAGCTTGGTTCAGGGTACCGCAAGACGAGCACTGCTAACTTCTATATGTCAGTTAGCACACTGAGCTTCTGCATTTACCCCTCCACCAAACACTTACCAGTCTTACAGCAGGAGCAGAAGCTGATGTGTTCAGTGCTGGAAGGCTGTATTTGAGAAATGCTACGGATGATCAGTTAGATAGTAGGCTGTGCTGTGAACTGTAGTGACTTTAAAGCAGACAGACGTTTACATCTGCTATCTCTGCATCAGAGAGAAAGCTGTTGGCAAGGAGCAAGGCACTTAGTGCAGTAATACTCTAATCCATCATCTCCAGATCTCACAGTGAGCTCGGTCGAAAATTATGTTCAGCTCAATCTCTGATTTCTTTAAGTAATCTATTACTTTTTATCATTCAAGTTTTACCTTTCTGTAGAGTATTTCAAGCAACTTACCCTGTCTTGCTCATACAGCATCCCATTTGATGAGCTGTTTTAAAGAAGTACTATATTACTTTGCAGTACAAACACTTTCTTATTCAAGTCAGTTATTAACCAAAAACATCATCCATAAAAGGTCAAGAATTTAATAAGAAAACATTACTTCTATCAGTTTGTCTTTCCAAAGGGTGGGATGAATTAGTGAGGAGATTATTCTAAAGGAAGCAGGCTGATGAGTAAGCTTTCCACTCTCCAGCAAATCTTTCCACTAATACTCTATGAAGGGAGGAACAAAGCAAGTCACCTAATGGCAAGAAAGATGCACAGCACCAGCAGAGTTCTGAATTCTAGTTGGGTATCATTGACAGAGTCACCAAATGGTACATGTGCACGGGGTACGGATCCAGAATGCCTGGTGAAGTGCAAGACTGAGGACAGAGAGTAAAAGTGATGCTCGGTGCACAGCCTCCCTTCAAGTTATTATTTTTTCTCTATGACAGCGTGGTTTCAGTCTGTAAGCGTCTGCCCAAATTCTGCCAGATGCATTCAATGAAAGACTCCAATTGCCTTAAAACCTCGTTGCCCATCTAGTTTGAGAAGCCTTTGGGCAGAATGACAGCAGTAAGATCAAAGTCATAAAGCCCTTATGAAAAAGAGAAAACAATTATTCATGCAAAAAGCAAAGGAAACTCTCCACTACCCTGACAATGAGAATCTGACATTTGAGGCAAAATAATTAGAAGTCTAGAATCACCATTCTGCTCGCAGAGGAAGAAGTGAACAATTTGGCCGCCTTGATAGGAATAACCCTTCAACACAAAAACTGTTGCAAATCTGCTGAACAGAGAAAGACCAACTCAAATAAATGAACAGGGCAACATAGCACTAAATTAATTTCAGAAAAATGCAAATTATTAATGTTATAATTTCTAACTGCCTCTAGGAAATCTGTTGGGATTGAATTTCAACTTCAAATGGCATTTAGGAAAGCTAATGTTGTAGCTAACTGTTGAACTAACTCTGTCCCAGTCAAACCCAGGACAGCTACCCAGTATTTTTTTCAAAGACCTGCAACACTCAACTAAGACAAAGACAATATTAAAAGAATGGAAACATCTCACAGACACAAGCTATATATAAGGAACAGCAAGGCAGAATCAACAATTAATCATTAAAATAATCTAAGTTTCCAAAATTTAAAGCTATAAGATGCATTGAAAAAGCAAAATAAAGACATTAGCGAGAAGGTAAAGCAAACCCAAGAGCTTTGACTAGCAATTCTGGCTGAACTGAACTGAATCAAAATCACTGAAAACAAAGTGTTAAAATTACCAAAACTGCTTACCACTATTACCACTACTCATTGTGCTGCCTACTCATTATTTCAAAACTCAGGTATCTGATTCGATTTGCAAGCCACTGAGAAAAAACGCTCACCACATCTTCACAAAACTTGCATTCTCTAGGACAAAGCGCTAATAGAAATCTCAGCTTCTTATCAATACATTTGTCATCACACAGGCTCTTCTGGTGGACACTATTTCAACCTAATATTAACAAGGTAAGTACTACCTTTTCCTACTATATCACAAGTGTTACAAAGTGTCAAAATACTGGAAAAAGGTACCTTTTGTGTAATCAACGACAGCCTCCAAAGCTGCTATTCGGATATCTATGAAATGCCCATATTCTGCATATGACTTGAAGAGAGCAGGATCGCTTGGGACGTGACCATTCTTCTGAAGCACTCGAATAGCTTTTAAACAGCTGGTAGAAAGAGGAAATTTACGTTAGGTTTGTGGAATGTCAGCCAAGCACAATAAAATTACTTTCTTTAAAATCAAGCACTGCAATTTTTCTCAATTATGTTATCCAAACTAACATGTTACAATTACCTTCACAGCATTAACACATAGCTCTCATTAACTCTGAATTAGGCAGAAACACAAACAAAATTCCCCACCATGTCAAATCCATTATTTGGTTTCAGTAGAACTATACTAACAGAGAAAACTCAGTTCACATTACCTTGTGTCCTCTATGGATATTGTTACAAGTTTACCTTTTGCAAAACTTTCATAAATGCTTTCCTTAAAGAGGCACAAGCATGACCAACTTCTGCCTATTAAAGTCTATATAGATAGAAATTAATGTTGAAAAATAAAGCAAATCAAGACAAACTTGCGCTATCAGCTTCTGGAAATTGGAAGGAATTTTACATTTAAGGTTAAGACACACAAGCTAAAATCTCAAATACTAACTACAGAAAGGTACATAAAGCCAAAACCAAGTCGTGTTAACGTGTCTGCTCTCTTCATGTGTACAACAATTATTAAACCACACCTGACTGTAATGGTATGCCTGTAACTGGGAAGAAGCTTCTCCATATTTAGGAAACGGGTAATTTCCTCAAGAATAAGTCGAACATCAGGATTTAAGTTATCCAATGTTCGAACTTCATTGTTCACACTGACTGCAGGAGTTACAGAGTTGGCTAGGGCATCAATCAGCTCAGCACGATAGTAGTTATCTGAAAACTAGATAAAAACAGCATTTGAACACAAGCAAATACAACAATATATATTCTTTAAAAGCTAAGAAATGTCGAAGTATTGTTACAGAACAAGATCTTAAAAAAAAACACGTGAGAAACTGCATGAGAAAGAAAAACTGGAACAAATTTGTTCTGAAAATGGATTTGAGAGTGATTGAGCAAGCAGACATATTATCAATCATTAATCTTCACTCTGTAGTAAGAGCGTATTAATGGTAAGATAAGAATATTAATAGTAATACATTGTTGTATAAAAATGGAAAAATCAGGCATTGAAAATTTTCCAGATATAGAAAAGAAAAGCTATTATTTCTAAACACGAACATCTAAAACTACCTGTCTGTTTCTATATTCACTACTAAGATTACCAAGGTTAATGGGTGCTTAGCAACTCAGAAAATCAGACACTTTATCTGAATAGCAACTTCACAAGCTTCTGAGGTGAACTAATGGGCTCATTGCTGTTTCGGGAGGAAAATTCTGCTTCTTCATTCACTCCTTTTACCTGGATTCACATTTTCACACTTTTCATAGTGCTGGCTGTTGCGTTTGTGGGTCGTATTAATTTAGTAAGCAGCAAAAAGTTTAAAAATAAAATTTAATAAGCAGAAAAAAAGCACCAGATTTGAATACTAGTTAATTTAATTTAAACAAACCCAGTACCTGTCAGATCCCGTAGAAGATGTCAAATGCATGTGTGGAAGGGACGTGGAAATGTGAGGCGGGATTTCCCCTTTGGCAGTGGGTAGATACTAGCACAGCTCACCACATTTGTAACTACTGCTGCTTGCACTCACACTCCTAGCGCTCTATCTCTCCACCCTCTATCATCCTCTTACTTCATTAATCTTGCAACAAGTGTCTCGTTACAGTATGTGCTTCTACACACAAAAAAGTGAGGCTGAAGAGGCTTCAGATTTGTTCCACTTAACTTTGGGTACTTAATTGGGAAGGTTATGCTAGGCTCCCAGCAATGGTAGACTTCCTCTGTAGCTAGGGAGATGGAATTCTGTATCACCTCAGGATCTTAAAGGTCATCTAATCACCCTTCAGAGGTGGTCTGTATGGGAAGGAACTGTAGATGACACCTCCCCCCACCTCCCCCAACTCAGACGCTTCAATTTAGTGATAGAACAATATTATTCTGGGTTTCAACTGTTATTTAACCAGACGAAGACAATCCAGTTCTGTGAGCTAGTGCTGACATTCAGAACCCAGAAACCCAGAGTCCTGTATATCATTAAAAAAAAAAGATTATTTCCTTTCCTTGATCTTTCGAATACTCTTCTCAAGGTGAATAAAAACCCAACAAGTCAGTGCTTAAAATCGCATGTGACACGTTCACCTCATGCACAATTTCTCAAAAACATATGGGTCTTTTGAATGAAAAAGAGTAAAGTAAGAAAAGTATGTCTGCAAATTAAGACAGGCAGGTCCTTAGTAAGTCAACAAGCACAAAGAGCTTTGAAACACCCAAGAAATTCTGCCATAGAAATGTCAGCTACAGTACATTCTGTAACATTTACTGTTTAGTTTAGCATTTCATCTTCTTATCAACTCTCCTACTGAGATGTTTACATTAATGGCATAAAACATCATGCAGTATATTAAGTAAGACTTTTTTCAACAAAAAAGTGAGAGATTAAAATAAACACATTCTTTACCTTATTCTTCCTGTTATCATTATACTTGATCAAATCCAAAATAAACATTAAAACCTCCTTAGGACAGAGATTGTGAACATCTCTCAGAAGGGCCATGGCAACAGGCATAGTCTGTATGAAAGAATTAGTAATAACATCATTCTCACATTAGTGAAATGATAGTTACACCCTAAGAAGAGCTATGTCCTGAAAACGAACAATTAATTTTACAATAGCAAATCTCTCAAAAGTTGTATTTAAATGCTTTTTGAAAGCCACATCACATGCTGCATGAATTTCAGATCAAATGAACTATGAGATTATTGAGCAAGAATTAATTATAGTGCAGATATATGAAAAAAAATGTGTATCCAAGAAAAGACACTCAAGTCAAGGCACTATCAAAAAGGTAACAAAAATCATAGAATCATAGAATCATAGAATCGTTAGGGCTGGAAGGGACCTTCAAAGGTCATCTAGTCCAACCCCCCTGCAAGGAACAGGGATATCTCCAACTAGATCAGGTTGCTCAGGGCCTCATCCAACCGGGCCTTGAACGTCTCCAGGGATGGAGCATCCACCACCTCTCTGGGTAACCTGTTCCAGTGTTCTACAACTCTCATAGTAAAAAATTTTTTCCTAATATCCAACCTGAATCTACCTCCCTCTATTTTAAAACCATTACCCCTTGTCCTATCACAACTGGCCCTCCTGAATAGCCTCTCCCCATCTTTCTTGTAGGCCCCCTTGAGGTACTGGAAGACCGCTATAAGGTCACCCCGGAGCCTCCTCTTCTCCAGGCTGAACAGCCCCAACTCCTTCAGCCTGTCCTCATAGGAAAGGTGCTCCAGCCCTCTTATCATCTTCGTGGCCCTCCTCTGGACCCTCTCCAACTGGTCCATGTCCTTCTTATGTTGGGGACTCCAGAACTGGACGCAGTACTCCAAGTGAGGTCTCACGAGGGCAGAGTAGAGGGGGAGAATCACCTCCCTTGACCTGCTGGCCACGCTCCTCTTGATGCAGCCCAGGATGCGGTTGGCCTTCTGGGCCGCAAGAGCACATTGCCGGCTCATATTGAGCTTCTCGTCCACCAAATAATGAAACACATAAATTATGATGGATCTAATTCTGAGACAGACATTGAATTTGGATGTTTCCATGTGAACATGAAAGCTTCCATTATCGTTGAGAGATATAGATCCAATAGTCAGTGAAGCCTAAAGAATTATTAGCCAGACAGGCATCACCTCGATTAGGTATTTATTTTAGAATGAGCTAAGCATCTCTCTAGGCTCCACTCACATAAATTTAGGAATCTCACTTTAGATCTATAAACTAAGGACATGGGATTAAAAGGGAGAAAATCGTAAGATTTAGTGGGAAAGAATGAACAATGACAAAAAGAGCAGAAAAATACCAAAGAAATTCAAAAAGAGAGATGTGGGGAGAAAGATGAAGCAGTTTTGGACAGAGTAAGAAAACAAAAATTGAGTTTTCTCCATAATCAGGAATATGAAATCTGCAACATAAGAACTCAATCATCCAATAATTATGAGGTGAATCTTGAGAGAAAACCACTGTAATTCATTTTGTTACCCACTGTATAAGTAACAACTATAGGTCTCGGTAAAAAAAACCCGGCATTAACATCAAAATAAGCTGCAGCAATACATGATGCTGACAATTAATAGAAAGGAGAGGGCAAGAAGGATCACGCAGTGCCTTCAACTAAAAAGCTCACCAATTTAAGATTTATGAGATTTTATTTGCAGTGTGATATCATTGCTATTAATGCATAAAGACAGCTGCTGAATTCACCTAAAAGATAAAATTACCAGCTTTGTTACTGTACAATAAATTCTGTTTAAGAATGAGCTCACAAATATTTACAAATAATTATTATATGTATTTTGTTCTTCTGAAGGAAATGTTAATTTAACTTCAGTTGCTCAGAAAAAATTGCTAAAATTTTGTTAACTGATTTTTGACTAAGATGGAAGAAATAGATGCCATATAAGAAAGAACTAGTTATTCTGGATTTTTATGAAAGGATAAAGCAAGACCGTGCTATCCATGTTCCCGTAGTTATCAACCATAGGAGCATTTTTTTATTTTGACATTTCTTCTAAAATGTTCAGTGAAAAAAAAAATTACCTTTTGCAGAAAGTAGCTTTGAAAGTTCATGAAGTTGTTGGTCTTCACAATGTTTGGACAAGTCTTACAACAAAACATTCGGGTAAAGAGTGATTTCATGGCTGGTGGTCCTGTCCATGTACTTACCATGGAATTTGCAATCTGTATAATTAGGGAGGAAGGGAAATCGTATTAACATCACCACTGCAAGTTTAATTTGGCTGTAGAAAAATACACATTTTCCATAATCAAAAAGGATAATTGCCAAGAACACACTGTCCTTCAAATAGATACCTACTGCCATCAACGAATTATCTCATATTAGCTAAGTTTTTACTGCCATCCCCAAAATATTTTCTCTACATTAAAGGTAAATTTTATGAAAATTGTTTCACTTGGAAGATGTCTGCAACTAATTATCTTTCCATGATAAACTTCTGTTCTTAATTATTTTCTTTTTTGTTTTAGATGAAAATTCTGTGTTTACTAAGCCAAGTTTTCTGACTTTACAGACGCCAGTGATGGAAGAGGCTTCTGTAATACCAACTTCCCAAATTTACCCTGCCAGTAACCTCAGCCTAGACTTTAAGTAGGCCTCAGCCATCCTAAGACTAAAAGACCACCCCTAGAGAGAAAGGCAAGTCAGCTACCTCTGCCTTTAACTGTAATTCACAAAGAGACTGTGCACTGAGACAAATTTATTGCTACAGTCCGTTTTGGTATAAGGCCACAAAGACAGAAGTGCTTTTGTGCCTTCCCAGCATCCTGAGTTTCATCCATTTGCTGGATGAAGCAACAAGAACACCTATGCCTGATGATGGATTAAGCTTGATGACAGATGTGTGCGTGTGTGTGTGTGTGTGCATGCACAAACGGGGCCAATGCACCCTACAATGCAGCAGAAGTTTCCATTGTTACAGACCCACCAAAAACTAAGGAAAAATCTGTTTTCACACAGAAGAAAACGGTCTATTTCCTTCTAAATCATTCAGCTTGTTTCAAAGGGTATTAAATACACAACAAGAGAAAGAAAAGCAAGAGGCTACCTGAAGAGGGGTAGCAACCCATTTCACCATTGCTCTTACATAAGATGGTGCTTTATTACTGAAAACCATTTTTCCACTAAGTCAGGCTTCAAAGGAAAGTCAAGAGAGAAAATACTGTGGTCAGACCAGATGTTCCCTTTGCAATAACTGAAGTCTTTGAACTAAAGATATAGGTATAACTTTCTCTGTAAGGGATATAATGACTCTTCTTGAAGAGGATGCTTAATCCCAAAGACAGCTTAGAAACCATGGTGCTGAACTTAAAACTGCAAATGTAAAATTTATGTAGCAGTGTAAAATAAAACCCAACCCCAAAAATATCATCGAAGGTTGCTATATTTACATGATATTCACTATTCCATTAAAACTGGGGTGAAAATTTTAAAATATTTTTAACTTCTACTATTTTAAGCATTTCATTTTGCAAAATCTATAGATGAACAACAGCGTTTTTAAATTCAATAAACAGTAATTAAATCACCACCTTTTCAGTATTCTTTTGTCTTATAATGTGTTCTGATTCATTTGAACTTACCTTTAAATACTGCCAGAATGCAAGTTTTCTATTTATTCCACTGATATGCTATACATTCTGAATCAAATGTATTTGCACATTCCCTAAACCATAATGCAAATAGGCTGTCTTGCATTCTTTATACCGAAAAAGACAACAGGTAGGCTCGATTTCTGCATCCTTCAATTCAGTATAGCACAAAAAAACTGCCTGAGATGTAACTGTCATGCGTAGCTATGAAACTCCTCAATGTTTGTGGCGGGTAGTTTGTGCTATTGCTGCTTTCTTAAACCTTACAGCACATCATCAACACTGCAATAGACCTGAACAGGAAAATCAGCCTGCATGCTCCCAGGAATCAATATTGTGGCATTGTTTTCTCCTTTCTCTGTAGAGTTATTTGTCATGAACTGCTAAGTAAAGTGAGCGTACACACACACACAAATCTATTAGCTTTTTTATCAATGACGATTTAATATTACCTGGGTACTCTATGCCAGAGAGACTGAAGTGCTGTTTTACAATGAAGCATATAATACCTTTAGAAAGTGTAGTAAATTCAGTTTTATAATTGCATTGTCATCTATCATTTCTCTTATCAACATGAGTACACCAAGAATGTTTTACAATAGTAACTGCAATCCAGCTAGAAGTTGTAAATCAACAAATAAGAATTCTCCCCTTAACAAACATGAGGGATGTAGCCTTTTTTCAATAAAGAATATAAATCCTGAAGATTTTCAAGCTGAGAAAATTAAATTCAGTTAATGACAACAGGAAGTGATTCTTACTAATGCCCTGATGCTGGAACTAGTAATAGAATACATTACACTTTCCTCGTAGGTACCTTACATAAACATATCTACAAGTCTGTCCTGCCATGCTCCTTCACCTTGATTCAGTGTAACAGCCATACTTCTTGCTTAGCTTTATCATCTTTTTTCTTTAAGTCAACAACCTTATCTGTACACTCAATATTTTTCATACAATTATAACTGAGCTAAACTCGGTATGATTATCTGCAGCCCAATTGCCTGAGAATTCAAAGTAAAGACAGAAAAAATGATTGCATTTAAACAGTGTAACAACTGCTCTTTTAATATCTACCTGTGGAATACACACTTTTAAATATTCCAAGTGAATTCATTATGAAACGTGCATGGCAGTACCAACGGCACTGGCAGTACCAATACTAGCACATGCACTGGCAGTATTACATCAGTGGTTCACATTACTAAAATACTTTGCCACAAACATTTATTGGATTTTGATTTTCAAAATATAGCCAAAAGATTTATTTCTATACAGGTACTGAATTATTCTCAACTGCACACAGCAGAAAGCAGGCTGTATGTCAATAATCTGAACCATACTAACTGTCAGTAAGTATGTCTTTATGTCCACAAAAATATGTCAAGAACATGCTTTTTCAGAAATTCTTGTTCTCTGTGTTCCCACCCAGTTGTTTTATAGGGTTCTCTAATCTTCATTCTTAATGAAGGTTAATTTTGTGTCTAAACAAAAAAGATCTTCCCTTTTCAAGGCAATTACTTGGCTTTTTAGTATTTAGTTGCAGACTAACATGATGTTTCTTTTGTGCCCCTATTCAATCTGAAACAATATAGAGCAGCAATCTGAATTCATATTAGACAGATAGATGAATTTCAGCACTTCAGAGTTCTCAGACAGGCCAAAGAACTTCCTAGTAAAATAAAAAAATACATTTTGGCTCTGAAAAAAATTAAACAAAAGTCTTTTATTTCTGCCACTTAATGAAATCTGGAAAAATCCCTTGTGGTTTTCATGTCTGACATCTCAATTTCAACAATTATGAAAGCCTTCTGCAGTCTCCATTTACAGACTAAAATAATACAGCTTTCCTTTCAAATCAGTCATGTTAAAAATACTTGGCAAACACTTTTAAGAGGCTAGATATCAAGCCAGTTTAAGAACTGTGATGAGTTTTGACCCGTTTTCAAACATTTACAATGTCTAGCGGATTTCTTCCCTTACTTCCATGTGCACAACCTCACCTTTGCAAGGCAGAAGCAGGCCAGCATTCTCACTCGGTAGAAACATTGTTCCTGTTCTAGTATATCAGTCAGGGCAAGCCGTGAGGCTGGAGTAGGGAACTTCTCCAGCGCCAGAATGGCTTCTTCTTGCGCAACCACATCTCTCTCGTATCGGAGCTGATACTGCCACATGAAATCAGATTGTTCGAACTCCACCTTCCTCAGTACTGACATATCAGGGTCTATTCTTATCCAGAGCAAAGGGGAATCAGCACTAAGACAGATACGAAAAACATTAATAGCTTACAACATTTCAAGACTATAGAAATTCAAAAGATGTTCTAACTTGTTATGAATTATTTTTGAAGTATTTAGAGTCAAAGAATCACAAAAGAATCTAAGTTAGAGGGGACGTTTGAAAGTCACCGGATCCAATCTCCTGCTTCTAGGACGGCAATTCTATAGCCTCCCAGGGCAATCTGTCCAAACCTCTAATATGTCAAAGTGAATACAGTGTTTTAGTATTTTTAACCTATAGATCTGAGTTCATGGTAAACTACTGTATAATTTCAATATATTTAATTCTGCTTCCTCAGATACCATAATTTTCGTAGGTGAGCAGCACTTCATCACCTTCTACAGTTTAAGATTACAAAAAAAAAATCTGACAAATAAAATCTGGTGGTAAAGACCCAGTTTTTTATATATTATTTTTTATCAATAGACTGGAAAGTGCTTTACAAACACACACACAAACGTTATGATGTTGAAAGCTGACAAGGCTAACCATGCAAATGCACAGAACTGCGAAGACAAATGACAATAAAAGTCAAAGTAGCAAAAGACAGGATTAAAGTTTTAGTCCTACAGATAAAATTGTTGTATTCCACTCAAAGAAGTGTTTTATACGTTAGTATTCACACAGCACCATGACTGCAGAAGTCATTTATGGGAGCAACACGCACAAACTATGTAATAAATTCTCTTATTCCGTTTTCCACATAAAATTGGTAACATCAAAATACAGATATGGAATTAGGAAAGAGTTTGGAATGATGGAAAGAGAATCATTATAAATATGATGTGTATTTCTATACACATTTTTAAGAGTATCTAGAATTACTGTCAAGATAGCTGCTAGAGAAGAAAGGATAGTGAAAAGAAGAGCACATACACAGGATTTAGAAGAATAGAAAGAAACGAACATTATCATATATGCCTGGAGCAGAGGAGTTCAAACTGGACAAGAGAGTGACAGCATCACAGATTAAAAGGTCAGCAGACAAACAAAGAGTAAGTGACTTGCATAAAATCACATACCAGTTCAAAGGTAGTTCTAAGAAAATCATTAAGGTCTCAGTTCAGTGTAATGCAATAGCTACCTGGACATAACTGATCAGAACTACTCACAAATATTTATGCTAATTGCTCTTAAATATAAATAAAAAACTATGTATTCATTTGTCAACCATCATATAGAAATGATAACAATAACTTGCTCTATGAAAATATTCCCTATAAAATTATTTCTCATCACAGCTCAGATGAGGTTAAATTTACGAGAATCTCCAACACTTTTAAGGTGACAAGCAACTTACCCTTCAAACTGACATCATTAGTTTTGAGAGATTATTTACTTCACTTAGCCAGCAAACAAGGGACCAACTCCTTCAGTATTTCCAAGAACACCACTGGCTCCGACTCAAGGAGGGTAAAGACGGTATTTACACTGACCAAGAATTTGTTTCCAAAGAGCTAAACAGTTCCAAGTGAAACTAATGCCAGTACAAATTTCAGTATGAAGTATTTAATCGCTTATTTTCAATTTAAAAGGATTCTTTGGTAATTAACCACAGATATCAGGAACTATCTTAGTGCTACTTTAACGGTCTTCATCGATGTCCAAGCAAAAATTGCTCTTACTTTGTTTCAAGCAAATTCTTGTTCACTTTTTACCTATAAAGCTGAAAGCTATCATTAGAAATGTGTAAGAAAGAATCAAGTAATTTATTCTATCCTGCCTTAGATTTTTTTTTTTAAACTAATTATAGTAGTTAACCCATACGTTTTACACTTCACCAGCATTTTCCCAGCTACAGAAGAAAAGTCTCAAAGAAGGCAAAGAAATGTGGCATAGTCTTGAAATTTGCCAGTCATATACTAAAGCACAAGATTACTCTCAAATCTTTTAAAATAGCATGTTTTACACAAGGGAAACATGGCTCAGTCTCACACTGACAGACTCCAACAAGCTAACTTACTCCATAGCAGAAAGGTCCATGTCCACCTCTTCTCCATTCATCAGTGGAATCTTTTTCTTCTTATTTCTATTAAAAAAGAGAAAATAGAAAAAAATAGGTATTAATTACCAAGCTAGTAAAGCTTTGTTTATAAATGGAGCATAAGCTTGCAAAAGCAGTCTCTGCGTATTTCACCACACCAAAAAATAATGCTTTCTCTAGCAAAAAATATTCACAAAGTTAAGCTGTGCATCAGTTTTGTTCAAATAATAATCACCAATACTTTACATTGGTTTAAACTTGACTTCCACCATTTTTAAAATTACACATAAGCATAAAAATTTGGGAAGCAGGGATCAAATGAGTTATTGAGATGCATTAGGAAACTGAGAGAATCTATTTGGGATGTTACTTTTATTGCTCATTAGGTTCAGTGAACAGCCCTGGCACTCTTAACAGAAAACTATGCCAGTGCTCAATGATATACCTTCACTTGAGGTTCTTCTCTGGCCTACATTTGTCTTCCCTCTAATCTGCCTTTCCCATTCAAAGACATTTTGAATAATGTGATTTATTAGAGTCTTCATTCAACTTGTTCTATATAAATAAGCTCTTTATAAAACCTTTATAAAATTTAAGACCTTTACTTATAATTAAGACTGCATATAAAACGTAAGGCTTCTTGCTGTTCATAAACAGCAGTAAATTCTATTTTCTCCTCTTATATCACAGTTAAATCTTATTCAGCAAGATTAAGAAAATATAAACATAAAATTTAAAAAACATATATTTATCATCAAAGGCACTATATGTTTTCGTATATCCATACTAAAATTACTTGTAGTTTGTGTTTTAGTTCTTACCTTCTGCTTTTAGAATGGCAAGGTATGTCATGTTTAAGACTGTTTTCTTCAATTTGCAATGTATGGTTGAATGATCCATCAAGTTCTTGCACTGTCACTTTAAGAGGACCCTTCAAGTTCACAAGATTTTGTTATTAACATGATTCTTATTAATGTATACATCATACTTGTACGTGTAGGTAAAATACAGAAAATCAACCTTACCACATATTTCTGAGTCCCAGGAGATGTGTAGTCTTGTTTTATTTCCAATTCCAACACATTTCGTTTTCTATTAAATGCAAAGCTACCATAAAACTTTACCACTCCACTCTGATCCCTAATAGGAAGTATAGGAATTCTAGGGCACAATGCAGTAGTTACAAACATAATTCTCAATGTTTTCATTCTTTACATTTGCTTTATGCTTCCATATTCCTAGAATTTCCCATCTCAAGAAAATCATGAAACGAAAACACTCATGTTCATTCACAAACTTTTAAAGTTTTTTTTTTCTTTAAAGAGCTCTTTAATGTACAATCATGTATCTTATCAAGAAAAACTGAAGTACAATGAAAATTATCTAGTAAGAAAACAGTCATTATGAAAAGCTATACTGGACCCTACCACATCCAATGTACTTGGCATGCTCTCAAGGAAAGTAATTAAGCAAGAGTTTAGTAATTTCAATATGAATTGTTTTACTATATATTTCAGTTAAATAAAACTCAGGGGAAAATGTAGACAGTAGCTTCTGTTTTCTACTCATGCTACAATTAATTATTTTAGTGCAGTTTTTCAAAACGGGTCACTGTGAGCATTCACGTGTGTTTGCGTGTGTGTGTGTGTATATATATATATAAAAATATATATATGAGTTCACATATACATGAGAGTATACAATATGACTGACAAAGTAATGATCTCGCTCTGCATTTTTATCCCAGGCAATGATTTCTTCAAGTCAACTGTTTCTGTGAATAACTTCATCATTCTTTTATGACAGCCATTACTGCACTTTATTTATAGTAAAACTAAAAACTATCTGTAGTAAAACTAAAACACCAGAACGAAGTATTTTAGTCTAGTGCATCCTCCCAACAAGCCTCTGACAATATAAGACAGAAGCAGGGAAGGAAAACTTGTTCTTTCATGTCTTGACATTTAGGGGAGGAGCTTCCAGATTCAAAGAGGCTTCTTATCACACACTATTATTAACTTTTCTCCCAAAATATGGTCATTTGGCTCAGACTGCTTCTGTTCACGGTACCTGCCTTCATAAAGGTCTGTGACATCGTCATCAGCTTAAGGCATTTTTAGTGGTGTCTTCAGCCCAAGGTTTAAACTCAGCAGCAACACAGCACTCGTGAATAACATCAGACAGTGCTAGTTAAGAGCAGTAAGATACACTCCCAAACAACACAAAGACCCACTGGGGTCTTACAAGGTGGAAAATCTGATGTCACAGGTACAACAGTGTTTGAAGTATGGTGGGAAGGTTGCAACCACTGGATTAAACACAAGTTACAGTTAACAGGATCAGCCTTGGAGCCAAAGTCCAGAGAAGCTGAAAAATCCCCAGATCTGAGAATTACAATTCTTCTTTGCTTAGAGAACAGACACAGTTGAGATTCAACCAGCTCAAATGGTAATACTGACATTTAGGTATAGCTGTAGTGTGAATATATGCACATGTAGAAGCCCTGTTTTCCATAAGGGCTTGGCAAAACGAAGTGTGGAAATTCAAATAATGTGTATTTATACTTTATGAATACTTTTGATGCAGATAAATTCTAACTTCTCACATTACTCTATAAATATTAATTATACAGTGTTTTTTAGTTAGACTAATTAAAGCTACCAATTAAACCTGTTAAACGGAGCAAATTCAAATTTACCCTCACATCAATCCAAAATAAGAAATCCTATTTCTTGACTAATATCACTGAGGTTTATAGCTACTAAGCTATTAAATGTCAGTGTATTTTAAACTATCAATCTGGGCTTTAGGTAACTCATTTCATGGTGATTTACTGGAAATCACATCTTAAAACGCACCAGACTATAGCATTTTCCATGTCAGACTTCAGCATATTTCTATGGGCAGTGTCCTCTGGAATCCCTTTAGTATAATTTGGCCTTAAATTCCAGCAGAGTTCTTGTGCCTCTTTCAAAGTAAAACTTAAAATAATGAAATCCCTTCTAGTAAAGAACACCCAAAAAAGCTAGCATACTCTAAATAACTATGAAAGGAGTATGAACCTGTGGCTCACATCTATTTCTAATTTAAAGAATAATGTACTTAACTGTTTTAAACAAAGATATTTCATACTTTTCTTCCCATTTCTTTAATAAAGTCAATTAAAACCCCAATTCATTCTCCATATTAACAATCCAGACCAAGAATAAAAAGGATACACCCACTGCTTTATTAAAGGTTGGATGTCTTTGCCAGAGACATTTGAGATAGATTTCAAAAACCCAGATGTGGAAACCAACATCTGACTCCACATGTGCGACTGGAACTTCTGAGATGAAGCAGTGCTGGCCAGACTCAACAACTTGTTGAAAACCTAAAATGATAAAAAGTTATTACTTTCACTAAATACTTCAATATATAAAAAAAATCTTTCCTGTTTAGCTGCAGCTGAACTGCAACAAAAGGCCAATAAACTCATTCTCTGACAACTGGCCTCAAAATAAAGGCTTTCAAAATAAAGACATGTCAGAAAATTATTTGCTTGTCCATATCAGAAATTGTGATTTGCAGACAAAAATACATTTTTACTTAAGGCAAATCATCCATGATACTGAGTAAAGCTCTGAAACCCCAACTTCTTAACACGAGAAACGTTGAATAGTAATAAAACCTGAAAGTGTCGTCTTTACTCATCACTGCTACAGGTACAATTTATCGTGCAGCTTTTTAACAGAGCTGAATTCAAAGTGGAATACAGGAACACTTTTTGGCATCCGTTTTCTAGTTCTAAGCATCACTATACTTCAAACCCATGTCATTTGTGAGGTTAGTCACTGCAAGCAGGCATGGCCTTTGTTTACCAAATTATAAGGCAGAAGGTAAAGGGGTGTGGTTTTAATCATTTCTTTCCACCTGGGCTTTTTCAAAGAACCAAATTCCTCAAAACTACATCTACATAACCAAAATCCATTAAATGACCATCAGCTTTCAAAAATTATCTACAGTAAAAGAGATCAATGACTATATCTGCTTTTTAGAAATAAAACAGTCGCCAGCTTCTCTGCTTTGCTATTCCTTTATAAAAATTGCAAAGAATAATTAGGATTTATGTAAAAGAAGCTTTAAAAAAGGTATTTCTGCTGTATTTTCAATCTGACAAGTGCTTATAATAGCTCTAGGACAAGCACATACTTCAAAAAACAAAACAAACAAATCAGCCAATCAAAACACCCTCCTGAAACCTAAAGTTGATAGGAAAAGGTATCTCTCAGTTTCTAATAAGGTGTTTGTTTATAGCACCCTATCTTTTTTAAGGTATATCACAAAAGATATTTAGTAAAGAAGAAAACCTACAACTCTGCAGAAGTTGGCATTTCAGAATAAATTTTAATCTTTTATTCAACTGCTTCTTCTAATATAAAGACCTATGCTCCCTCTAGCACTGAAAATGTTATACAGCGGAGAGAGCAGAAGCTGGATTCTCATTACTATTATTTATAATTCGATTACATTACAGTTAGGGTCAGAAAAACAGGTCCTCAGTGGTAAAAACTAATCACAACAACCCAAAGTGATGAAATACCTTAACATTAAAGAGAACACAAAATATCTAAAAAGTATTACAAGTTATGTTTAATAGCTAACCATATCCCCACACAAATTACCTATATTTTTTGTTTGTCCAATCCTGCTGAAACTGAAAATACAAATGGAATCCTAAGATGACCTGTTTTATTCTTCCTTAAACTCCATTTAATGACTAGAAATGCAACTAAAGACAAAAAGTTGTCTATATTCCATATAATCATTTAAATACTTACCTGTAACATGAACTCCATGCTAATCCTGTTCTCAATTAGTCTCATAACAAGATGTGCTTTACACTGGAACATAGTGTAATATTCCCAGGACAGTGTATGAGGGTGTTTGATAGAAAAATGTAAATGTGATGCAGGGCTGAAAAATAATAATAAAAAAATCTCTATTTTGCATTTTATGGAATGAGACTTAAAATATATCCTAGCAACCAAGATTACAGCTGCACCAACAATTATTTAGGGTCTCTTCTACTGCTTTAAAGTTATAAATCATGACATAATTAAAGCAACCACATGCTTGTACAGAAAAGTGACACGGGTGTATGTACCTGGCATACAGTAAGTATTGTTCAGACAATAATGGCAGGTAACACATGTTGTGTATTATTGCAAAGACAGTGGTAGCAGTAGCAACCAGAACAAGGAATCTGTGACTTGAGTCTGGAAATTACTCATGAATCCACCTGCTTCACCCTCATTTAGAAGTGACTGGACATAGTGACTATTTTCTATTTAAATATATATAGTGACTATAAGTATCTATAGTGACTATTTATTTTATATTTAAATAATAATTGTTGCAACTACAAAAAAGTAAGAGTTTTAAAATTCACAGCAGAATTCCATGTGACAAGCCAAAGGAATTGCTTGGGTTTTATTTTAGTTAGCAACTTTATGCTTTCAATACTTGGGCAAACTGATGTCTTCTAAATCAGATAACATGCCAAGGAAGACTAAGCAGATCATCATGTTACAGCTGCCACACTGTTTCCATAACTTGAACTATCTGTGGTGCTCCAACACACACATACCCTCCATGCCTATAAGCAAAATATTTTAAAGGGTTTAATTTCATTCCATATCAGAAGACAAACAAATGGTAAAACCCTGAAACTTTTAAAAACAGAACTGATTTTTGAATAGCCTTAGTGCCCGTACAGCAACAAAAATACCAAAAGACTTAATTTTAATGAGCTTTAAAATTAATTTTCTCCACCAAGCTTTACATTTCAGAATACAAACATTCTGACCTATAATCTAGTTTCAAAGTAGAAAAGTAGCTGTAATACTATAATTCTCGAGAAAAATAGGACCTTTTTGCCCCCTTTCAATTATTCAAGAAGTGGAGATAATCTGAAGTTTGACTTTATTTTATTGATGTACCAAGTCTGTGGCAACTGTGCTTTGTTGTGCTATGGTTTTTCTTCTAGTTCTTTTCACAGGACATTTGAGTTTTCAATGAATGAATAACAAACATCCTAAGAAACTGAACCCACACCATGTCAGGCCAACTTCTTAAGAAGTGGGAATTCAGATTTGTTTTATGCTACTTGGTGGTGAAACGCAAATTGGCCACTGTGACATAAAAAACCGTCAGCTACTTAAAATTTCTGGGCTCAAAATTGGATTCTTCCCCTGTGATTTTTGCTTACAGATAACATAACTAAACTGTTTCCACATAGACCAGGCATCTGATTTGTCCAAAGATTTTAGAAGGAGACACTGCAAGACACAATGAAATAATTCACAAATTGTAACAACCAAAGATTAGCCCTATAAGTCTGATCTTCCATGCCAGCTGCCTCAGGAAAAGAATGGTCTTCCAGAACCTTCAAAGACCTATTAAACAAACCATTTTAACTTTGACCAGTCTTTCCATGCAGTTGAAAGTCATAAGCCAGCAAGAAGCGTTCTACCAGGACAGGACTAGCACTTAGCTCCTTATCTTCAGCTCTTAAGATTTCAGAAGATGGCAAGAACTAAGGTAGCTGCACCACCTTAATATTTTTTCCATCCTTTTATTTACTGGAAGACTCCCTTGACTTTCTTCATGAATGTCTGTTTAAACATCTTAAGAAGATACAAAAAGAACACTATTTCTATATTTAAGCAAGTATTACCCTTCTTAGGTATACTGAGTGTATGAATAAGAAGGTACTTAGGTTTACTACTTGCTGTTGCTAGTTGATAAGCAACTGATAAAATTCTCCTTATGAAAATTGTCCTGTTATTTTGGGTACTCCTCTATTCTGAGGTAGAAAAAGGTTAGCAACCATGAAAGAATTGAAATGCAAGGAGGAAACTGAGGTTGTGGCTCAGACATTATATAATAATTTGGTCTCAGTATAAAACTATTTATCCAGCATCAAATTATACAGTTGATTGACTTTGGTAAAATTCTTTTCTTGAAAATTACAACCAAGCCAGGACCCACATTCTTGGCCTTATTAAATTTACTAAGTTTTGACTGATTTTGGTACTGGTTACATTATTTAACTGCAAATCAAAACTGGGACAGGTTTGTATTTGATGGTTATGTTTTGTAGTTCATTCAATACGAATACATTTCTTGTGATTAAATTTTTCTTCAATCATTATACTTCTAAAACCATAACTGAATTGGCACCAAATGAGAATTAAAATTAGCAGTATGGACTGAGAACCTTTGTCAAAGCGAAAACTGAACTAGTTCTTCCATGGAAATTTATAATTCACACACTCTCAAATGCACTCCAGTAGTTCAATGTAAACCTGTCGATATGCTGCTTCCATCTGAAATATATCTACATACATTTCTTGAGGTTTTTAATTTTTACAACAGGGTGGTACCATGACAATCAAGGACTGAAGAGAACCAAAATCTGAGAGGGGAGAATACAAAATGAAAATGTAATGAACACAAAGCTTTATTTTGAAACTTTCATTCCTGCAGCAGATAACCTGCAGTTTCCTTCCTTTCATTTTCTCAGGCTCTAGGATTTTTTCTTTAAAATAAATGCTCTGGAGAGTTCTGTTTGTGTTTCACTGCCTAGTGACAGGAAGAATCTGCGAGACCTGTGCTTTGCACAGAAATTAATTCATGTGCCTGAAAAGTTATTTTCTTCCCAGTGATTTATTTCCATATTCTACTTCTAATTTAGTTGAAAAATGAGATTATTAACTAACGTAATTTTTCCTTCATAGTATTATTAATTGAGACTGCTGTAATGCAAATATGCTTGGCAGTAAACTGTATCATAACAACCACAAAAAAGCAAAAAATATATTGGAGAGAAATGTTCTAGACATCATTATGAAAATACCTCCCTAAATATGAATCATTTCCCAAAGTCAGGAACATATATTTAATCTACATACAAGGGAACTTTGCAACCTATAAGAAACAGCAAGTTGTAATTTATATTTAAGTGACATTAAGATCATTATTAACAAGCCATATTACAATGGAAGTAGTGAAATAGGTGGAAACAGAGTGTCTAACAATGTCAGGTCAGGTAGAAGAAGGATACATTTAAGAGCATTAGAACAGGATTTTTTCAATTATTTGTGTTCAAATCTAGAGTATATACAATAAAACTAATAAAATTAACAATTACAAAGAGACTTTTCTTTTAGTCCATTTCCTTTTTTTAAAATGTGCCTTTTTTCTCTAATTTCATCTGATCCTATTACTCTGAATTTAGTTTCTCTGTACAGGGGAGTATGTTGCCAAATTGTAATGCTGCCAAATGAAAAGACAGACAAGACCTAATTCAGACCCAAACTTTCCTTAAAAAAAAGACACCATCACCAACAGGATGCCTAAAATGACTGCTGCTAGCTGTAACTTGTTTATCAGAGGTATATGTAACAAAAGCATCTAGGTACTTGGTCTGCTTCACTACAAGACAGTGAACTAAATCAAAATCCATGAGCAAACAAGCACAACTGAGTAATGGCTTGGCATGCATACACATACACAAGCTGCACCTGTGCCTGTCAACATCCAGAAAACATGGTAGTTTTTGAGGATTCACCTGGTTGGGAAACTAGACAGTGTGTCCTACTCCCGATTTCAGAAAACGCCGCCTTCTTTTTTCATCTCTCAAAAAAGGATCAGTATTCAAACTTGAAATGGGTTCTTTGTATACTTGATTCTGTTCTAAATCCAGAGTTTTAGTTTTAAATGAACAAAACCTGGATTTGCACACACTCAAACGCAAGAGAACCACTGCTGCAGACAATTTGGGTTGTATTTTCACAATACAGGGCTTCTGCTGCAGTAAAAGCTGAAGAAATTCACACTTTCCCACTCCATCTGCACATGCTGCTCATGAGTTTGCAAAGAGCAGCCCGTTGTGAGGCTGTATCATAACTAGATTAACTTATCCAAGAAAAGAAAAACCCAGCAAAAGGTTGTAATTTAAAGCTGCATCAACTTACTGATCTGTTTTCTACTACTACTTTCTACCTCCAGTGGTAAACACTGGTCAGTGGCTAATACAGGAGTATCTCAAAAGAGGTTAGGGGAAAATTCCTAAGCTAGCAACACTGAAACTACAGTTATTGGGAAAATACAAACCCAGCCAGTCCGCAGTTACCAATGGCACTTCAAAGATGACTGATCTAATACTTTTTCTTTAGTCGATAGGAAATCTCAGTATAAGATTGCAAGGTGATAACAGAGAGTGGAAAGAAAAAGAGCACAGAAAGAGAAAACTGATGATACTGTAAAAAGCCTAAAGATCACTAACCACTCCAGAAATAGCTCAGGTCAAAGTTCTGGCTCCATATTCTCTCTCATTCTCTTACTAAAAAGTAGTTCCAGAACAGCATTAAAAACATTCATTACTTTTAATTCCCTTCAAGGTTTAAAGTGAAAGAAAAATAAAATAACAGTGATACAATGTATTCAAGATGTACTTTATGAGACCGGTAATACATGCTTTGGGCAGCTGAAGTCCTTCAGCCTTTGGCCTTGTGTTACACAACACACCCAAGGCATATATTAATGGCCCCATAAAAACATACCCTGTAATGACTTGTGGCTTAAATAAACATACTTGTCTTTCTCTTTTCCTCCTCCGAATATTGGATGCAGTAAAACTCCACCAGTCTTCAGTTCATATGCCACTATTTGATCTAACTCCTAAAAAGTACAACATACGTAAGCGAGCATAATTTTGGAAAGTAGAAAAATTATTTAAAGAAGACAGGAAAGCTTTTAATACCATTGTCCAAGCCATACCTCCTCATTCAACTTGTTTACAAACACAAAGAGCATTTTAAAATCAGGGATGTTCCTCAGCATGGCAAGCAATAATAAAACAGTAGAAGTTAGCAGTTAATACCTGTTCTGGGTCCGGATATTGAGGCAACTACAACAATATTTAACTACAATATATCTAAAAGATATTACTGTTCAATAAGTAAGTTGTCTCTGTCCAAAAGAAATAAAGGTGATCACCATTTCCTTTCAGTGCAGAGTAATACTGGGTATATCTACAGAGCAGACCGCAGCATATGGAAGTCCACCTTGACCCATGCCCAGGCGAGACAAACCGGCTCTGAACCGGAACATGAATTTGAACTTGTGTGGTGCTGTGCCCATGTTAACAAGCACACTTTAAGGCAGGATGTTTGCATGGATTCACTATCACCCAACAGTCAACACGGCTTTCGCATCAAATTGGGTCAGCTTGAGCATAGGGAGAGTGAATCGATGTCTGTCTGCTACTCCGTGTTAGCAAAGGAATTTTAAAGTGCTGGTATGTATTGGTATTTATTGATTCATATCAACTTACACACTTTCATGTATTGATAATACATTCAAAGCAGTAAGGGCAGAACTGGAGGCTGTGACAGCAGCACCTCTTAGTTCTGTGTGGAAGCACTCACTTAAATCATAGGGAACATCATGAGCAACTAATATATCTGTAGGCAATTTCTGCTGTACGCAGCAGTCAACTCTCAGATGGACCTTCATCTAGTAGTGCTGTTCTCCATAGCACCCACACCTTCAGTACAGACAGCACAAGACTGGTGAGCTGAATGTACATTGGGCAGATAAGGATATGGTATCGAGTCCCCATGTGAGTAAGGGATGACAATGCAGCCCACGGGGTTAGGAAACTATTTTTTCGAAAAGGAAGAGTAAGAAAATATGATGAAAGGGAGAGGAAGAAGATATATGAATGAATGTTACCAGTGAAGAGTCACTGCTGCTATCACTGAAAAGTACCTGTCTCAGAGAACTACATTTGGAAACGTATAGACAGAAATTTCTTTTCAAAGAAACAAAATCCCTTCAACAGGAATTTTGTTACTGTTTCATTATTTCATTTAGTACTTCAATGATACTAAAAGATACTTGATCCACTATTGATCCAAGCTAATGCTGGGGCCCTTCAGAGCTATATGGATGGCCATCACGGTACAACATATTCATTAAATATATCGCTTTATGAATCCTATACTCCATTTTAAGTGTTTAAAAAAGTATAATCTTTTTTGACTCTTTCTGGTTTTGTGCAAAAGCCCAAACGAAAAGAGGAAAACTGATTGAACAGAGAGATAATGAAAATTATTATTCATAAGGCAGTCACAGAAACCTATTTCAGTTAATATGTTTTGATATTTTTCCTTGCAGCAAGAGGAAAAATATTTTAGCTTTAAGTTCTGTCACTACTAAACTATATTATATTCTGGTTTTATATTGCATCTTCTTTGATGGAAAATCTCTGAAAGGTAGAGAAAATACCATTATTATGTTGTTACCTGTTTAATCCAGTGGCGATACTCATTAACGCCAAAGGTTTTTTTCATCCAAAGGCCATAAATATAACCAGAGATTCCCTTTAGTACCCATTCATCTGACCTATAATGAGAAAGAAGGATGAATTATAGCACTTCAGAAGGTGTTTTGTAAGGAGTGGTATTTTTGACGAGCTCAAAATAGCCACAAATTTCAGCAGGTTATATAACTTCTCTAAGTCAATAGGAGTCTGATGAGCTGTGAACCAATTTATGTAACTTGGCACCTGGACGGGACCGATGAAACTGAAAAGCCAGTGAAAACTGAACTTTTACCACAGAAGCCCAGATTAAAATATAAAACCAAACTATTTTAGCTGAAACAGTAACAATAAAACAGGGGAAATGGACACTAAACTTAAAACAACTGCGAATCTATATGATCTTAATTTCTTGATAAACATCTCAATGCAAGGCAAAAGATTTGGACAGCAAGTAGACAAAATATCGATCTCAATTTGGTAGACACCCATCTAAACACCTCCTTTGAGAGTTATGTTCTAAGAGAGAAAAATATGGACAAAAACTACAAAATGATCATGAAAGACAATTCTAAACATAAGAATGACATACAGAGTATGACAAAGTGGATAAAATGAAGACACAAAGGGAGTCCTTACAAGGGAGGAAAAAAATGCTCTCACAAAGGACGTAGACTAGAAATAAGGAAGAGAGCAAGAGAAATTATAGAATCATAGAATGGTTAGGGTTGGAAGGGACCTTAAAGATCATCTAGTTCCAACCCCTCTGCCATGGGCAGGGAAACCCTCCACTACACCAGGTTGCCCAAAGCCTCATCCAACCTGGCCTTGAACACTTCCAGGGATGGGGCAGCCACAACTTCTCTGGGCAACCTGTTCCAGTGCCTCACCACTCTCAGAGAGAAAAATTTCTTTCTTATATCTAACATCAATTTAAAGACATTTTGGTTTCTTTTTTTTAAGCCAAGGATACTCTGGGACATACACTTTTGCCATGAAAAAAGCAATGGGCTACTTGTCCCTGATCTATGAAGTGTATGCAAAAGGCTTTAAAATAAACACTGATGAGAACTGCAAGAGCCAGTTAGAGGAGATTTTTTGAGGGATGGAGTTATAGGTAGCTTACCATCCCAAAGAATTTGCTCATTTAACATTAATTTCTGCATTCCCCTCCCCGAACTTACTCAGTAATTTATTAGTTCTGTGCTCCACAAGTACTTCCTATGCAAGTTACACTTCTTCATCCAAAATACATGACAGAAATTTACTGATGATACGAAACAGTATCCCCTCTAAACTTCCAGGTGAAGCACACTACAACATTCAGTAGCAACAATTGCTGAGAGAAGACTTGTTCGATCTTTATTGGAACCTTTATATCTCGCATCCCCCTCTCAAACAAATAAATCCCATGGATTTTCATTTATTGATATGGTTTTATTATTCTTCCCTCCTCTCCCTTCTACAGTTACTGTTTTACTTTTTTGATAAAATGTAGCACGCAAATTAAAATTTGAGTTTCCTAGATCTTCTCCATTTTCTAGAGAGTACAATGGCAAAATACTTACCAGGACATTCTGGATATAAAACATCCAAAGAACTGCTGGGCCAGGGCCTGTGCTAAGCACCTCCTTGTCAGTGGAGTTTCATCTATAATCATTGCGCTGTGTAACAGATTTGTGCTGGACCCCATAAAAAGAAAATAACACAGTATGAGAACAAGTTCCAAAGAAACAAAATAGAGAACTTGCTTTAAAAGCCAAAACAAATAAAATAACTCCTTCATTGTTTTCCAATGAGATAGTAGCATCTTTTATTTAATACCCTTAATCTAGGCAGATGTCCTGCTATTTTCATATATATATGACTCTCTGTGTAGAGCCAAAGTAGTTTGTTTTAACTTGTGAAACTCTTTTGGATTCTTGGTACCCTACTCCAGTTGAAGGAAAAAAAACCCCATAATCGAATTTCTGCACTTAATTCAATCTTAAATATTTCATGCATGGTGTTTCTAATTCAGAAAGAAATCCACTGCCAATTTTTTCTTAAAGAAGATACATATCCAACATCTTTATAACAGATAAAACTGGAAATGGTGTTAAAAGCCTGTAATGTCAACAAAAGCCAGCCTTTTCAAACTAGAGAGCCCAAAACTCAGGCTATAAAAATAATAAGAGCTTCACGTATTTCTCAATAGTCTTGAATCTAGAGCTTCTAAGTCTGTGGATTTAGAAAGTGTAATTTTCTCAAATACTAACCTGAAAATACTCATGGATGCATAAGCAGCTACTTCAACATAAGCTTCATCTATAAAAACAGTCTTGAAACAGGAGTATGGATAGCGGCAGGTGAGAATCTCCTCATAAAATTCAAACACCTCATGAAGGTATGACGTGGTATGTTTGAGCAATGGGAGAAGTTGTGGTAAGCAAAAGTGAGTCACCTACAAACAAAGGGAAATTTGGTACAAGACTGACAAATGTATTTAAATCCATAAATATTAGGCACGTTACATAAGAGAAAAAAAACACAACACAATGAAAATACAGCTGCTGTAAATTTAACAGGAAAGAGCATTTTCAAGCTGTGATAATGACTACCATGGCAGAAAAGTGAAGCAGGATGCCCATCTTAATGGTGAGAGCAACACAGGAAAATAGTTTGTAGCAGATAAAGCACAATAACAACATCTACTTAGTGATGTTTATCCTTAAAAGACACATGACATTCTTCTTTGATTTTGTAATCTAGGGTCTTTTGGAGATATTTTTTATTTTAAGCAGTTAAGAATTGGCTATTTTCAAATCAGTCGAGCAGTGCTACCGTTCAGAAGACTTGTTACAGCTAAAACTACAAGTAATCTTTGATATTACTGTTTTTTCAAAAAATTTATGATGCAGCCAAAGACACTGACTTCAGCAGTGACACAGGAATCAAGTTGAGAACAATACGTAACTTCAAGTCAGCCCTATAGAAGAGAAACTCTACAGAAATTGATCAATTTGGGTTTTTCAAATATCAATAACTGATTTTTTTTTTAATAGCTATTATCTTTCACAAGTGAGTGTGTCCCACCAGTAACAGTCAACAGAACACCACTGCTGAGGACTGAAATCTGATGTTTGCCTTTGGATCAAGTGAAACAGCTGTGTCCCAGTATTTTCCTATCACGCTTTCAAAAGAATATACAGGCCAGTCTTTAGGCTAAACTGGTAATTCAACCGGCCTACCAAGTCCATCCTTACCCAATCTGAAACTACAGATGTAAATATAAACTGGTGGACTTCAACTTTATGGCAGTAATTTGTGAAGAATGAAAACTCAATGCCAAATTTAGTTCAGAAGACTATTCAATTGTGTAGCAATAATTTTCATCTACTACCAGCAACACAATGGGTTTAAAGCTATTTTGAGAAATACGCTGTTACCAACTCCAACTAAATTAACCCCATAAATTCAGGCATAAATGGAATAATTGTTCGCTCAAAAGCTTTACTTTGGAGATAAATTTAAATCCAGGCATTAATAGACAAGTTTTACCATATAACTGTATTAACAGAGGTTGTATATGGACATACCCGTATTTGACCAAGATATACTGGCTGCAACATAAAACCAGTCCCCCATTCCTTAAAAAAAAAAACAACAAAAAAAAACCCCAGAGGCTTCTATGAAGATGATTACCTCATGCATGTAAGGATCAACAAGGATTTCAAAAGGTCCAATCGCCAAGGAGATGTTGGAAGCTGCAGTTGGAATAGTCAGCATGTAATGAAAAGTCTTCTTTCTCATATCGTGGGTATATACCGTTTCCACCAAATCTCCGTTTGAAACAGCCACCATTGCAGCATCTACAGTGTACTCAAGCTTCCAGGTGCACAACTCAGAATATGAATCAACACAAGGAAACCAAAATCTAGGAAAGTTACGATTGAGGGAAAAACGGTTAATAATTATACTTCTCTTTTTCATAGATAATTTTTCTCTCAAGGTCCAAACTATAATCTTCAATACTTTGAATGTTGACATACTGACTCCTACTACACATAGATTTTATAAAGCACTACAAATTTTTTTGCTATGACCTCCTGCTGAGCTATAAAGACTAGAAATCCTAATTACTAATCATTACATCCTTCTTCACATCATTAAGATCCTTCCAAGCACAACTTAAGTTTTAGAATTTCTCAAACTTACAATTATTGAAAAAAAAATTTGTATTTCCTATACTTTGAGATTAAATTGAAAATACAGCCTGACATTCAAAGGTAGTTTTCTTACCGTGTAGAATTTTGATAACCACAAGAAAAGACATGAGCCCCTCTTTCTGCCATGTTGCCCTCCATGTTAGGTACCACAAAATGAAGGCCACCTTCTGGCTGGTCCAGAGAAAAGTTTATATGCACCTTCAGGACTTTGAGCTCTGCAGCACCAAGACCAAAATTAGAGTAAATACATACAACTTATAGGATTATTTCAGAATAATCATTCAGTTTTGGAGTCTTGGTCTTTCAAAATTAGGTAAACACTACATCTCACTTACAAAGGTCCACTTATAAAGCACAGCTCAAAAGCTTACAAAACTGAGACCTCTTAAGCTTAACTTACAGGATATGAATTTATAAGAATCTTTAATTAATAAAAACAGTAATTGGAGTTATATTTCATCTTCCAATTCCCCAATAGTAAAGAATCTTTACACAGTGACTGTACACTAACCGTGATCTCCTTTGTATCTTGCTGAAATAATTTTCTACAAAAACTGCATGTAACAGGCACATTCTCAAAAGACATGTTATTGTTGCTTGCATTTTCTTAAAACCTCGTATTATAGTTAAAGCTTTTCCTGTAAGTGAAGTGTCTTTGCTTTGGTTTAGTTTCATAGAAATCTCACCTATGGTAAGTTGGCAAAAGGAATTCAGGCATATGGTGAAATTTACCCCAACATCTTGGCATTCAGACTTTGAAAAGAAAAATTATACCTGTTTGAATATTTTCCCCTCTAGGCTTACAAGTAACAAAACAGGAACTTAAACAGAAATTAAAATAAACAAATAAAATAAAAAAAAAAAATAAAATAATAAAATAAATTAAATGTGGCTTTCCCATTAAGATGTATCTGACAACACTATGTGAGTCAGCTTCATGATACAATTGTTTTTTCTCTCTCACAGGTTTCTCAAATCCATGGGTAAAACTGATAAAACCATATAAGAAAATAATTAATGTTGGAGAGTAACTGATTAAAAAAGTTACTTGTTCCAGGATCTAGTATACCAGTTTACAAAGTAGTCTACTTTTCACTACTGAGTCAGTTTTAACCAACCACTCTTCAAAGTGAGATGGGAAAAAATTAATACATCTTTTTAAACGACATGTACATAGGCATATCCTTGTAAATTCTTTTCTTTGCAAGCAGCTTCAAACAGTTATAATTCAGCACCCAACACGCTCCATTATACCCACATCCTCATGTGTACTGCTGGGCTCATGACCACCCAGGAGTTTGTTTGTAAAGGGTGTTGAGAAACTTTGCAACCACTTCTCCATGTTACCAAGAAGCATGAAGGTATTTTTCAGACTTCAGCTGGAAAGATACAGGTGAGGAAAAGGAAACAGCAACCACCATTTCACGAAGTAATGCTATTTCTATTTATTTAAATCTACTATCTTCCTATGCATAACTCAGAACTAACAACTCTATGGTATCTTAAATAAAGCTTTTCAGTGTGGTCTCTTTACTTTACCATCAACATGTTTCCACAACTCTGAGGGAACTTTAATGCAGAGCTCTCCATTTCCAGCATCTGGGTCCACAGCACTGACTGCGGCAGCATAGGCATTGGAAAAATAGTTGAGATTCCTCCTGTCAGAAATACCCAGTTAATTCTTAAAATACATGCTGAGCTACAACAAACAACTTCTGAAGTTATGGGATGTCTATACTGAATTTCATGATGCATGTTCAACCAAGTATTTTGGTGGGTTTTTAAAGGAGTGTATGGAAAAAGAAAGAGTAAACATTAGATTTCAAAAACCAGAACTTAAAAATAAGCTCTTATAGAAGTGATCTATGATCAGAAAGATTTAAGCAGTAATAATCCCCAGTAAATTAAATGAGAAGTGCTCAGCACTCTTTACTTCCCAATAAAAGTAATATTTATGCTTACTGGAATAGCAATTAAAAATTCTTGGGTTGGCAAATCTTGGATCAAGTTTGTATGTTTATTCTAAAGATCTGTCTTGAAGATCTGCCTCCTCATATATTGCAGTTTTGATTTGATGCTGCTTTTCCAAATGCAGCAAGATTTTAGCTTGGGAATGGTATTTTTCCCCCCTCTTAGCTTGAATGGATAAGAATAGTTTTACTTTATGCTCTTTTAAATACCACACAAAATACCTGATGCTAGAGTTTTGGCTTTAATACACTAAAACACAGAAATGCATATTATACTTTTCAGTGCCTATAAACAATTTTTTTTTAAAATGTTACCATCATTCATTCATTTAGGATACAGACACAAATTTTTGTAATCAGGTATCAGGTTTGAGCTGTTCAAGCTACTATGTATTAGGTGCTAACTGACTGCACGTTTCATTCCAAAGTAATACCGTTACGTCAGTTACCGCTTCAGTTAACTGTTTTCTACCGAAACGCGCAGGAACACGCGTGTGCCTGCGGTTACAGTGACTATGAGCAGGACGTTATCTTCTTGTTATTTAATCTGATTATATTCAGATGCTGGAGGACTGACCAGGCAAGTTCAAAAATAACCTCGGTTTTGCATCTCTACTCCATAGCTTTTATACTTTTTCAAAATGGATTTTCAAACTCTGTAAAAGATGGAAGCGACACCTTTCTTCATACTAATCCTCTAGCACACAGTTCTTCAAAAGCTTGCACAGCTCTGTTATGGGAAGAGAAAGCGTTTGAATTACTGATCACCTTTTTTTCCAGAATTTCAAGCATTTAGGTGTGTACCACTGATGAATCCAAGCACTATAAGGGCAGAGCCCCAATCAAGCATAAAGCTATCTGCAGCGTTACTGCACCACAAAGGAGTAAATTAAATTTTGGCTGTGGACTCCACTCTTCCATGGAATCTGAAGTCCACACAAAGCAGACATGATCTCATTTCAGGATTTCACTTTCATCTAACCATTCTCCATTCACCACCCACAGAGAAAATAGCATTCGACCCAAATTACAGTACCTTACTTGGAAGAATAAAGGGTAATTAACCATGCCAGGATGATCCTATAAGTCTAGGTATGTCAAACACCATTCCTATATTCCTAGCCTTCCACATCTAAAAAATTTGCTAAAACACTGAAACATATTGAGAACATATTTTCATGCAGTTCTTGATCTTTGGCAATAATAGTGCACAAATTCCCTGGCACCACTACCAAGACTGAGAATGTTAGGAGCAGTACTCGTCTACTTTGCTTGGAAGCTTCTGAAAATAGGACGTGAACAGTAAATGGGAGCATATGAGCATAGAAACACCCAAATCCCAAGTTTTAATACATGATCATTTTTTCCTCTTTCATAGACAAAATGTACCTAAAGATAGGATATAATGTCAACAAGTTTCAAAAGCACAAGGCTGAATTTGTACACTGGAATATACTATAACTTTGGCTGTGGTTCCAGAACAATTCAAACCAACTTAAACTCCAGCTGATGTGCTGTCTCCTAGTCTCAGCCACATTTTTTGCTCCCTCACTCATTAAGGAGACTACTCTTCATCCGACCCTGCGGTGATGCAGCTGGAAGTGCCAAATGGAAAAAAAAAAGTCTTTTTTCCTTGTTGCAGACAGCTTTCAGTAGGCTTAGCTCTCTGATCTGACATACTGAGGGGTAAAAGTGCTACTTCTGAGGCATGGTAGACTGTCAACGGGACCATAACCACCTCAACTGATGATGCTTTAAGCTGTCTTCAAATGGCATCCTAGGAAGACAAGCAAACACCACTGGAAAAACTCTTGTTAAAAAAAGACCGCATGACTGAAAACTATCTTAGTAATTAAAGAAACCAGCAAGAGAAAACAACAGTAACATTCTGTTAGATTGTAAAGCCTCAAAGTTTTTCATTTTAATCTAAACTAGTTCTGAAAATTCAGTTAGTGATAGAAGATTCCTTTCCAATCCATCGGGGAGAATTTGTTCCAAGTTTGAGGATCGTGATGAGCTCGTGGTTACCTTTTAAACATCAATGGGTTCATAGACAGGAAAAGGTTATGATTTTATAGCAAGAAAGGTAGACTCCACAGGGCTTAACATTTTATGGAAAACAGTCTATTCTGATCTTTCTATTTTTGTGAAGTGTTCCAATTCAAATGGGTGATTCATTGTAAAAAGAATCCTTTAAAAGCCTTGCACCACAGATTAATTTTTTCATAGGTTGAACTATTCTCAATAAAGTGGATATGGCCATTTTAACAAAACCAGCATATGCCAAAAGTTACAGCCCAAGGAACACAGATAAAATTTCCTAATGCTACGTGTAGGTTAACAATGAAAAAGTAATATGCATTCACGTTTTTTCCTGCTAGAGATACATTTTATTACTAGAATTCACCCAAAACACTTAATTAAAGCCTAAGTGCATGCTTGTTGACTGACTAGAAGCAAGCTGTAGAGATTAATTTTTTAAAGCTACTCCTTGATTCCAAAAACCTCCATGTCACCTTTCCATAGCATCTCTCATTACTAGCTGCAGCGATGCTACTTAACTGTTACGCAGCCCAAACATATAGTTTATAAACCACTTTCTTCCTACAATATTTAACATCAACTTGGCAAAATAAGTTCTTTGATCAACATGTAATTCATTACTCTTCATTAACTGTAATTAATTTACTGTTCTACTTTGCTTTCCGGCTACAATTAGCACTTGGTTTTGGAGTCCAATCTCAAAATAGATGATATAGCATATATTATATACAGCATATTTTATAATATGTAGACATATAGGTAATTTATTAATAAGGCAATGATCTGAATCTTTGGCACACTGAAAAACCTGATTTTCATTCTTGCTCAAGGTTCAGGGCTTTGCCATCTCTTTCTTCAAAAGTTCTCTATACCTCTGTTTATTTCTAACAAAGTCTATCACGAATTTACAACTAGATAAGCATCATACCAGTGAAAATGAAGGCTATTTATTGCGGCAAAACAACACATGCCCAGTTGACTAGTATTGGTTTTTTTGTTTTGTGCATAGGCTACAGGCTTGATCACTGACTTCTCAGAAGACAGAATATTGCAAGACATGCCCTGAAGGTTACCACATTGCGCTCTCTCACAGATTACTGCTGCTCCTAACTAAAGCAACAGTGAAGTTGGAGATATCAAAATATCTTCATATTTTTAATGTTTAAAAACCTCAGGCTTCAATTAAAAAAAAAAAAAAAGAAAAGAAAAGAAAAGAAAAGAAAAAGCTGATCTAGTGAATGAATAGGTATATACTGCCAAAGGTTAAAATTACTCTGAATAGAATGCCTATGCACAGGAAAGCACTAGATGCACATTAGCTAGCTATACTACACAGAAATAATAATAATAAAATGCAATAGCTTCTCAACCTTGCAACACACATGTGAAGGATATAACCAGGCAACAGCAGGACCATCACAAACCTCACTTATCACAGATCGAACCACTGCCTCAAAACTCCAAACTTTTCCTGCAGCTATTTAACAGTTTACAATCTTACCCACAGGATTAAGAAAACAGAGACCTCCTTTGCCTGTTTTCACATAAAAGGGGCCGAGATAAAAGCAGTTGTCTCAGTAGTCAGAATACATGCTGTGGGATTCCTGCATACTATAGCCCAGAAAAAGAAATCTCGCTTCCCTTATAGTGACAGAATCGAGAAAGCAACAATTCACAAGGAAAAGAGGGAAGATGAAGACGACAGAAGCAGCTGTAACACTCAAGAGCCTTAAGACAAGACCCAAACAGACATTCTCCAACACTACACGCAGTCTTTGCAAGATTTCAAACTCCTCCTTAAAAGCAGGAGCAAAGTGGGATTCTCTGCCACCTTGTGTACACATGGTAAAACTATGTGAATTGTTTTATACCTCACAGCGCTGTTCAGACGTTTGCTTAGTCAGGGAAGAAGTGACTGTGTTACATAAGTTCATCCATGTATTCTGACATGAAAAAGCTACAATGTCCTAAATTTCAAGAGGAAATTACAAGATGGAAGATCAACTTCATTTCTAGGTAAAACTTTAAAAGTTCTTTCAGTTGTTACCTGAAATTACGGCTTGGGACTGATGGATAAACTGGCAATGGCATCAAAGTTGGAAATATATTCAATGCACTAATTGAAGGTTTCTAACATTTCCTACAAAATTCAACAATTTTTAATTACCTTTGCAGTGAGGGTTTTTTTGTCATTCAGCAGAAGTGACAATATACAAGACCAAAAAAAATTGTTTCACCTTCTGCAACAGTGAAAAATATGAAATGACAAGAGATCACGTATCAATGATTTTTGCATCAATAGATGATAAAACCCAAAAGTATTATTTGGAACCGAGAACAATTGTTCAAATGTTCAATTCAGAACACAGAGATGATCTGGCAGAAGATCTCACTGAAGAAGTAGCAGAGAACATCATGGTGAGACAGAAACAATTTCAGCTGGCGCTGCTTGTATCTCATAGATAAAGCTCTCTTTAATCTCGACTTTCTCACATCTCTTTTAACTATGTTTTCTTGCATGCCAAAATTTGCACAACGTAAACAATTAACCACTTGACATTAATCACTTCATTTGACCTTCACCTCATATCAGCAAACATAACCTCTCAAGTCACAGACATTGTAGCAAGTCTTCCCAAAGAAATAATTATAGTGGCTTAAATACAGAATTTTCCCTTTTTAATTGAACTCTGTTACTAACTAAGGGAGTAAGAAGTCTTAAAAATATTTTAACTTTGATAAAAAAAATAGGAAAAAGGCCACTAAATTAACAACTTTTTCTACATAGTTTATGTATTCTTTTAGAAATCAACATTTAAGAAAACCAAAAAGCATTATCAAAAGCAAGAAAATATTTGTATATAAAACCTTAAAACTTGAACTTATTTTTTTATTTGCTACACACCACAGGAAAGAGTAAAGATATAAAACAAATTATTTTAAATAAACAGGTTGCCAAGAACTATCTTAATTTCACATTTACTAGTACAACAGACTACTGAAAAAAAACATGCAAAGGTAACTATCCCTGTAACACTAGAAAGAAAACTCGATGACTAATCTGTGTCCTGTTTAAAATAATTGACACATCCAGTTCAGCTGCAAGGGCACCAACGACATCATCACTAAACCTGCCATAAAAAATGAGAACTTGGAAGAGACGACCAGCAGAGCAAGAACTGACTAGATACGAAGACTACTACAAACCACTGCTGTTTCTAGAAGCAGTTCAAAGCAAAGAAGGACAGAGGAAATCCATTGGCAATTTTTTTTGTATGTATTAATTCTACAGATTTTAGATTTCTAGCATTTCTGTTTGTAATCCTGCCTTAAGAGCAGAGATGCTGTATTTAATCAAAACTTAGCTACCATCATGCTCGACACCCACCTGTGACCAGGTAATTCAACAGAAAAAACACACATCTCGTGTAATACTTCGTAACCCATGTAACTTTTGACTTCTGAGATAAAGAAAGAGGCACACGAGTTCTTCATTTAGAATATTTAGTGACCTCTGTCTTTCATAACTGTGAATAACACAGGAGTTATGAATTATGGAGACTTACTATGAAGTTCAAACAGCAATGCGAAAAGCTGCAGCAGTGAAAACCACAGGCCACAGTAGCCCTTGAGTGGGATTGAGACGGGATTTTACTTTGCATGCATTGCCTTCAAATTTCGTTCACTGCTCTTAAACAGGATAATACGAAGAAAAAGATGATGATCCACTATACCACTAGGACGCTAAACAAGGAAACTTACTTCCTCCACAAAGCGACAGAATTATCTATCTCTCCTGATCCCTTTCTTAACATAATGGAGTGCTCACTCTGATCCTTTTATAAACGCTGCTCCTTTCTCACATCTTGTGGAAGTTGTTCAGGATTCAGTTACTAAAGAATCAGAGTGGCTGAGGTTGGAAGGGACCTCTGGAGGTCATCTGGTCCAACCCCTCTGCTCAAGCAGGGCCACCTAGAGTCAGTTGCCCAGGACCATGTCCAGATGGCTTCTGAACATCTCCAAGGATGGAGACTCCACAATCTCTCTGGGCAAATTGTCCCAGTGCTCAGTCACCCTCACAGTAAAAAAGTGTTTCCTGATGTACATCAATTTCAGTAAAATTCAGTGTCCTATATAAATGAATATTGTATTTGCAAACTGAAACTCTTGAAAATTGAAACTCTTGGATACGTGATGAATAGAGGAATATCAAGTGTCTTCCATAGACAAACAGTTCAAGTCCAAGGGTGTGTAATTTAGGATAAAAAACAGCACTTGAATCTCCACAACTGAACAACAGAAGTTCTCTTTAATACTCTAGTTTTCAGACAACTGTCAGAGAAGTCAAATCAGGTTTAGCTGAGATGGGCTAAGAAACAACTAAAAGGCTCTAGTCATTAAGGCAATGAGCAGACAACCTCTTCTAGATCCAGCTACATCATACGAGAATGCCACTATTCTCACAAACCTAACCAGCGGGATTGTATGAATTCTCTGCAGTTTGCTTCGGAATAAGTCTAGCTAGTTCCAATCTGCCTTCATCAGCTATAGGAGCAAATCAAGGTGACGTCATCTCTGAAGCTGCTGACTAAGCCTTCTCCATCTTTTCAGCTAGCAGATCTCTCAGAGCAATCACTGTCCAAGGGGACACACCAAATAGCTGAAGGACAGTAATAAGCATCTTAATTTAACAGTCCCATAGTTAACCTGACACAGTCACACAATTTGCGTTATTCCTATTATTTGTTTCTAAGTAATAAGATAATTATATATAAGGCTATCCAGACATGTTTAATAAAATCAGAAACAAATCTTACAAAATCTTATTTTGTAAGAGAAAGAAACATGGGAAATATTCCCAAAAGTTTTAATACCATATAAATATTCTTCAGTTTAAAAATAGGAAGGAACAAAAATGATCATCCATTCAGACATTACGTATCATAAAAATCAGGATAATTTTTGCAGGACAAATTATCAGAACATAATAGTTTTGATCTAAGTAATATTATACTGATGCAACCAAATTGATTTAACCAACTCTGCTGGAATAAAAAAAAGAAACAAAAGAGAAAACAACAAAAAAACACCACAAAATCTCAAACTAAGGGCAATGCTCTCACGTGGAACTTGAATGTAGCTGCACTTCTGTAGAATGTTCTCTACAGGAATATAAACAAAATGATATTGCCTAAATAATGTAACCAAATTTTCTTTAAATAAACGAGTGTAAAAGTTGGGCACAGATAAACCTGAAGTCCATCAAAAATAAAACATTTTAGCCCAAGATTTCTTTGGCTAAAAAACACAAGAAGTTTCCTAAAGCACTGAGAACACTACTGGCATCCATCACTTTCTTCCCATAAAGTCCTTTTTAAAAAGTTTCTGATACTTTCACAAAACAATACAAATCATAGAATGGTTTGGGTTGGAAGGGACCTCAAAGATCATCTAGTTCCAACCCCCTTGCCATGGGCAGGGACACCCTCCACTACACCAGGTTGTCCAAAGCCTCATCCAACCTGGTCTTGAACACTTCCAGGGATGGGGCATCTACAAGTTCTCTGGGCAACCTGTTCCAGTGCCTCACCACCGTAACAGGTTGCCCAGAGAAGTTGTAGATGCCCCATCATTAGTACAATAAATTCTAAAGAAGAATAGCTTGAGTCAAAACTATTGCCAAAATACTTTCCCAAAATTAAGTCACCATACCAAAAGTTAACTGTTTCTGTCTGAAACTTATGCTACCATTAGGAAATCACCAGGTAAAACTTGCCAGTACAATAAAATAGGTTATGCTCAACAGCAACAGAAGACACTATATCTGCAGAGTTTCAAACATGTCACTTACTGCTTCGACTCATTGTGACAAACTTCCAGCGTTGGGTCGTTATAGATGAAAGCTGCTTCTAAATCGTTGACTCTTACTCTGTAAATCCGGCACTGTTTACTGTTCAGCTTGATTCTGTTCAGGTTTGCAACTGTGGGAAATATTGTCAGTTCCACATAGCCCTACGAAAACAGAAATCAAAACCTTCTGTAAAATCTTTATCAATTCACAAAGTAGAGATATATAAAGAAAATTCTTTCAAAGGAAAAACCGTAGGTAAAATAATGTCAATCTTTTTATTTAAAAAGGAAATTGGTTTGCCCTTTTAGATGTCTACAATACATTTTCTTTCATATCATTTAACAGGTGAATTATCCGAGCTGTGAAATAAAAACCAAAAATCTTCAAAAGGATTGACAATCATGCTTGTTTTACCACAAATAATCTGCCTCTATTGGCCAGACTTCAAGTTACGAGCATCACTGTGTTTTAGGTTTCAGTATCTGAGCTTGAGACAATGACTTTTAAAACCTAGGCAGAATGCAGTTCGGCAGACATCTAAATTCACAAAAAGCCTCAATGACTTCAGGCCTGAAACGGTGAAAGTCTCTTCAAAGCCCCAGCAAACTCACATATAAGCTAGAAAACTCTATAACCCTATCCCTAACATCAGCTAACGCTGTGTTGAAGGTCAATTTTGAGTGGCAAATTGCCTTGTAATATTATTTACAAGGCAACGACTTTCTTTTAGAAAGCTTTTTCTTAGAAATTAAAGTGTTCACTCACAGTTAGAAGGCATTTTATTTGTCGCATCATAAGGAATGACAGTCTTACGAGAGATATCGGATTAGAAAGTATAAAATCTAAAGCTGAAGAACATAATTAGCTTGTGTGTGCAGTTGTTTCCTCTAGAAGCATGAAGAAAACCCAGATCTTTAGTTTCTACTTTCGCATTTTATTAAAAAGTACTTACAACAACAGACTTTCTCTGAAAACTTATGTTGTTGATACAAACTACCTGGTGAGTTGTGCTGGAAAAAAAAAATATAAATAATTAAAATAAGTAAAGTTTTGCACATTTTATAAACCAGTTTTAAAAAAAAGAGAGAGCGCTCATACAGGATATATGTACATATAGATAAATACTGCATAAAGCATATATTTATATATGGAGAATTCATGATGGTCTAAACCAAAACATGAATGGAAGTTGCACATAAGGTCAGAAAAGTTCCAATATAACCAAAGTCTAGTATCATACCAGTATGAATAATGCCAGTAACACAGGAGGATAACAATGCTTTTGAACATGAGAGTATGTAAAACAGAGTATTACTAATGGCGTGGAACCGAGTTCTAACACTTTAGTGACGTGCAGTATTAGAAATGGTACACAGCTGCAATATTTGCAATCAGAGACCTGTGGAAAATTTACTTGGCGAGTTGACACTCACATATAACTTATGTAAGTAGGTACTATACATGAAAAAAAGATATAGTATGTGCTTTTACAATTAGCATGTCATAAGAATGTATTATTTTAAATAATTATTTATATCAATCAAGATAGGTATTTTAAATAAGTCAAATGTATTTGCTTAACTTTCGAATGATGTATTAGAACCGTAGGTAAATAAAACTGATTTAAAAAAATGAAAGAAAAAATAGTAATTCCAATTTTCTTTTAACACTTCAGAAGTTATTTGTATATTTTTTTCTGTAATAGGTGGCATCTTCACCACACTTCACAGTAGTGCTATTCACAACTCAAGATGCAACCTTGCAACAATACAATTTTTATGCCACATCACAAGTTATACGCACATACTCATGTACCCTGTGCGTTAAAAAGTGACTTTGCTTCAGTTGAGCAAGTTCAATAAACATTCCCACAAGAGGATGATAACATTTAGTATCCAATGATTCAAACATTACCTACACATGAAAACGTGTATGACAACCAGAGTGATTCTATTCAGAAATACATTTGTGTTACAATTTTATCAATAAAATCAAGGAGGCATAAACAGAAATACAATAAAGATCCACTGAAATTCAAAACCAACTGCTTTACAGCTTGGTTACAACCAAAAAAGTGAATGTGTAAAAATAACAATTTGCTTAACAAAGCTGCTTGCTATAAATGCAAGCATTTTTTTATATATATATAAAAACAGCCCATAAGGGTTTGACACAGCAGTAAGCACAAAACATGGTAGCATGGTCTGTAGTGCTGATATTGTGTGGAGAGATCTCCAAGGTTTGAATAGCACAATGTCAGTATGTTTGTAAGACAAGACTGAGTGGTTGACAGACTCACTGTCCACGAGAGAGTCTATTTACACAATAAAACATAAACCTACAACACACATATCCTGAGCGCAAACTACACCATAAGCAACAGTTCCAACTTCATCAGGCAAGTAATGACTGACCAGCCTGCGGTCTGTTTCACACGTGCACTGGTCTCAAGCACAGCAACTTTAAAAAAAAATGGATACTTATAATTTATATGGTCTTGGGCTCTCAAATCCTTTGTCTCCTTTCTTCCTATTCATCCTGAACGGCAGCACTAAACGCACACTGCTGACCGGCAGACTGGCATCAACATCACACTCGCCTGACAGGTCCTTCGGTTTCTCCCTGCGCCAGGTCTGATTCGGTCACGCATTTCCCCAGTGGATCTGTGACTCCCGACAATCAGGCATCCTGAGCTCGGGTAAGCACCATCGTTGTAACACAAAAAACGTTCAGTCTTTCTCCATAACCTTTTACGAGCGCAGCACGCGGTCCCTCTCTCCACTGAGGGTACGGTACCCGTTCAGAGGCGCTGCCTGCTCCCTTTCCGCAGAAGAACGTAAATCAACAGGCCCAACGGGCAGCGGAGGTGGGAGCGATCGAATCGAGAAAGCCGCGGCCGGGCAGGCACCG